TCCCTTCCAACCCTTGACATTCTGTGATTCTCTGATTCTTTGGTAGTAGTGAATTACCTATATGTAGCATGGAAAGGAACAGAAAAGGTCCTCACGAAACTGTGCCTAAGTCCACTTCTGGAAATCAAGACTAATAATCACATATGACAAAAGGATTTTCCCTACTGTTAGCAGGTCCACATAGAAAACATGACATTCCAGCATATCATAACAATGAATACAGCATGCATATTTTTAAATAAATTGTTTGTCTACATATTAGTACATACACTACGCAAAAAAATTAAGTTCTCCAAACTTACCAAATTGTATAAATTGCGTCTAATCTGCTGTATAACTCCGGGAAATGCGGGTTTTAGCAGTTCCTGATAGCTTGCAGGCCACGTGCTATAGCTGTGATCCTGTTCTATATTATTAATCCACTATACCAAAAAAGGCAGCCATTTAAAAAACACAAATTAAACATCAAGTAAAAGATGTATGCACAAATAAAGGTATTTTAAAACACATGGAGAGACTGGAAACAGTAAAATGTCTTATCTTCTTTTTTGAAATAGTAACGCAAAATAGTTTCTAAAACAATTTTTTTTTTTCAAAAGGAAAAAAGACGATTTGCATTCTGCATCAGGACGTGAATAAAATCATTTTTTCAAGTGTTAAAACTACTTTCACAATACAGCAGTCATATCACACAGGTGTGTGTAACAGGGTACAACAAACTCATAAGACAAACAGGCAGCAGCACTTTAGACCTTAGAATAACTAATTGATACACAGCCAATTTGTTCTTCTGCTGTTTTCTGTGCAAGCTTAGACAGGGGTGATACAAAGCACACAAGAGTGAAAATTAGTATTTTGGTGCTTTTTCCACTAGCATATAACCTTTTAATGAAAACTATAAATTTTGAAGATGGGATAAAAGCAGTCATTGGAGAATTGGAAACAAAAATATTTAAGTTGCCCAAAACCCACTTTTACTTGTAATGCACTTTTAGTAGTCTTGCATAATAGAAAGATATTATGCAGCTAGATTAATTGCTGTAAAGCCAAGTTCTATAGTTATGAGTACGCAATTATTCTTAGATGCATTCTTTTTTGTTTAAACATTCGACATCTTAAAATTTAAATAAGGTACAGGCTAGAGAAAATCACTCCTAAAATACTGAAGATATATCACCTTCCAAAATATTTAAACTGCTTATCAATACATGGTCTTATGCCTAGTATTTCAGTTACACTATAAAAAAGATAGACTGTCTCATAGATAATATCAAATATGTAATATTTAAATAAATGTTTAATTACTTACTATTATTGAAGGGTGACGAATATCTAGTGCATAATTGTCATTGGTAGGATGTATATGCAACCTCATAAATTTACTCAGGATCTCCTTCTTGATTCCAAGTTCATGAAGGCCATGCATCACTTTTCCTTCCAGTTTAAGAGTCTCTAAGATACTTTTTCAGGAAGACAAAATGCATAATGTCTACGTAGAACGCTCACCATGACATAAAAAGAAAAAAATATTTCAAAGACTATTAACATAAGGACTATTTTCTGTATTAAAATAACTTTTATACTCTCCTGCAGTCAAATGTTTAAAATAAAATCAATTAATAACACTATAAGTCTCCAACTTATTTTAAAGGAGAATTATAGCAGATTATACAAGTCTTTTGTTTATTCATGTTTATTTTATATGAAGGAATTTCATCCATCTCTAGTAAGATGTGGCAGGACAGCAGAGCAGAAGTTTTCCTGCTGCACTGACCTGGCTGAGGCCGAAAGTCAGGTGGGGGGTACCCTAAAAAGAAGTTTTGCAAGTATGTAGAGAAGCGGGCAGCAAGTGATGGAGATGCAGGTGAGCTCTAAGCCTGCATGACAGCAGAACCCTGAAAAGAGCACAGAGGAAACACATCGCTACACCTCTAAAAGACAGATCTTTCCCAGAATATCCACAGGACTCCAGAACATCTGTTGCAATCTGAAAATTCAATATGAGGATAGGAACAAACCTAAAGTACTCAGCAGCAGAACACAGCAGGAAAGATTTTACACAGGCCTGTATTTCTAACTCGCTTCATTTTGAGTTTTAAAGGTTTCTTCTAAAATATACTGAAATGGAACCTAGCACTAGCATTAAAAAGCACTATTAATATTTGCTTCATTACCAGAAAAAGTGCAGGTGGCTCACCAAGTCACCTTCAACCATTTATCATCAGTCCTGGCTAACTGGGAAGGTCCCACTGGAATGGAGGTTAGCAAATGTGACGAGAAGGGCTGTAAGGAGAATCCAGGAACTACCGGTCTGTCAGTCTGACCTTGGTGCCAGGGAAGCTGACGGAGCAGATCACCTTGAGGGCCATCACGAGGCACATACAGGACAACAGGTGATCAGGCCCAGTCAGTCTGGGTTTATGAAAGGTCTATCTTGACTTATCTGATCTCCTTCTACAACCAGGTGAACCACTTAGTGGATGTGGGAAAGGCTGTGGATGTTGTCCACCTGGACTTTACAAAAGCCTTTGATATCATTTCCCACAGCATTCTCCTGGAGAAACTGGCTGCCCACGGCTTGGACAGACATACATTTCACTAGGTGAAAATCTGGCTGGATTGCCAGGCCCAAAGGTTGGTGGTGAATGGAGTTAAATCCAGTTGCACCAGGGGTGGTTTTCGGTTGGATATTAGGTATAAGTTCTTCACTGAAAGGGTTGTCAAATATTGGAACAGGCTGCCCAAGGAAATGATTGAGTCACCATCCCTGCAGGTATTCAAAAGATGTGCAGACATGGTGTTTAGGGCCATGTTTTAGTGATGGAGTTAGTAGTGTCAGGTTAATGGTTGGACTTGATAATCTTAAGGGTCTTTTCCAATCTAAATGATTCTGTTTCTTTGACTCTGCCTCAAAACTCTGGCTGACAAAAAGTTAAGCAAAAATGCTAAACCCAAGAAAGCTTAAGAATCTCCACAAAGGAGAAAAGGAGACATTTTGATTTAAAACCCAGAAAATAAAAACTTGTAGACTTTGACAAATCATAGCAACATGAAAAAAACCCTCAGCCTTAGCAACAGTAAATGCCACTGACAGTTTGCAGACCACCAAAGATGATTTGAAGTAGTGTCCTGCTGTTGACAAGGTACGGAAGAAAAAAAGGGAAAATGTTTCCAGTTTGAGTACTTGCATGCAAGAGGCAAGGCACACCCAAAATAATTACACCATAGTTACACAAATCAGAAAAACACTTCTTACACTAAAAAGCATATTACTTTGGCATTAACAAGACTTATTCTAAAAGGTGACCAGACAGAGACTCACAAGCATGCCAAAAATAACCCAGGGTGTTGTGTATCTAAATTTTATACCTATAAATTTTTTAATTTTAAAGAAATAGGGATATGAAAGCAATTAATTTGCTTTTTATGAAGTGCTTTCTCCTCTTTTTATACATACCATTTTCAAATTAATTTTACACGGTGAGTCGCAAAATTGTAAGCAAATTAGAAAATCCATTCCAAGAGAAAATGCAGTTTTTAGCTACTTACAGAATGTTCATATTCAAAGCAAACCCACAGTATCCTCTCTACTGCAGTACTTCCTAGCCCCCAAAACGCAACAGATGGGATTATCTCTCACCATGATCACAACTTCTCCAGCATTGTTAGTGATTCTGTAATATTCAAACAAAATGTACCATCTTACCTAAAAGGATCATGAAAATCCAGGTCAATATGAAGGCCATTTAGAAATAAACGTGCTTCTCCAGGTTGGATCCCAAGTATGTCATGAAAATGCTAAAAAGTAAAATGTACTGCTAACTTACTTAGGTACGTGCCAACAGTAACACACACGCATCTATATAAAACCAGAACTTTAATTCTGCAAGAGAGACGTATCAAATCTCCTACACATAATTTCTTCTTTTATCTGAGTGTTGGTGGTAAAAATATTGACAACATATTATTACGAGTGCTATTTAACACACTTTCAGTGTACAAATACAAATGAAAATAGCTGATAATTCCCCCCCACAAACTACCCACAGTGTCCCTAGCTGGACAAGGTTGAGACAGGGACACATTCTCAGTGTCTGCCAACAGAAATTCAAAATACACACACATACAGAAATATGGCTTGTAAGTTTTTGAAAAATTACTCTTATATATCCATTCAGCAAAGGGACACCTTATACATGCCCTTCAGGCCTCCAGTGGAAACTAGCTTTCTCAATTCCTTAATATCTTTCACAATTCCAAGTATCGTGTAGTTGCAATTGTTACAGGGAATTAGGAAAGATAGACTAGAAATGTAACAATTTCATCTAAAAAAGGGACTTTGGAAAAAACCACAGAACCAAAAGGGATAGTGTAGCACAGCCGTGCTCTGAAAAGAAGAAAAAATCCACAATAAATGAATGCAAGAGGAAGGAGGTATTTAGGGGATAAAGTACACCTTTTATTCCAGAGGGCTGTGAGACACCACACTGGTCAATCTGTGGTGGCTGCAGCAAGACTCAGTAAGAGGAGCAAGAGCAGGAGTTTATTCCAACTCACCCCACAAGGAGCAAACTTCCCAATCTATCCTAATTCCCAACATAGGAATGGAAAGCACAAAAATATGTAGAAATAAAAGCAAGCTGAGAAAAACATATATTTTTTTTCCCATTTAGCTCCCACTCCCCGAACAAAATAAGTGTGAACAAAAAACGCGCTTTGGACAAAAGCACACTTAGAGCAAGTGATTCAGGCTGTGTGTATTATTTCACTTATAAGCCCATCACTGAGAGGAGCTTATATGAAAGAAAGGAAAGAAAAAATGAGACAACATTTAAACTGATATTATTCCCTTAAAATAGTGTCGTTACTTTCAAACAGTTACATGTAAGCAAACTCAAAGCTAACTGGTTTGTTACATTTTAAGTGCAATTCCATATAAATGAGACAACAGTGCGCTTGAAGCTCCTTGTAACCCGACAGATCGGCGTATTACTCATCAGTCATTGAAAAGGCACCATATTTCTTCGTATACAGAAACATTTTCACAACCCAAAGTAGAATGGAAATATGTAATGACACCTAATATCAACGTATGAAAGGCAAGGCTCTCCATGAAGGAAAAACGCAGCTGTTAAAAGCTTGAGCCTAACAAAGAAGTTTTATGAAGGTCCAAATCCCATCCTTGACCCTGAAAAACAGCTTTGGAAATTCGTAAATTTAATTCATTCCAATGCGTAACCCGAACTTTTGTGGGTTTTTTTTTGTGTGCAGATTTACAAAACTAATAATGCTTGTTATTAAGTATCTAAATACATATACTCAAACTCAGATATAATGTCAAGAATATGGCAGGTTTTAAAGGGATTGCATCCCACTCAGAAATAACTAGAAAGCCTTTCTAAAAAAAATTGTTAGCTATTATGTTTCATGCAAATTTTAGTAGGCCCCCAAAAATGGATGTCAAGTAGGCCTTTCAAAAAATGAGGACCATAAATGCATGTCAGTAAATTTCCTATGGTTGGATAAGGAAAAAGAGATTAATTAGAGTTCTAAATTTTAAAACTTGCTTTATTCCCAATCTTACCTAAATTAGAGAAACTGGAGTGGTTTTTGTATGTCCCAAAACTTGGTACAGAAGAGGAAGGACTTCTGTCTTCTTTATAACTACCTGCTGCTTTAGATTACTCTGGCCCAAATGCAGAGTTTCATACGTATCTTTGTTAAACAGCATATAATCATAAAAAAAACCCCTAGAAGCAGCAGCTGGTTTCTGACATTATTATTTTTCCTACCATAGCTTCACACAGAACTACATGTCCTCCCAAGGTCTCACTCTACACATTCATTCTAAGCAGTCAGAATTCACAGATGCCTGACATTGCCAGGTGGCCTCGCAACAGGTGAAATTTCAGATGATTTTACACACACGGAGTTTGATCCTGAGACACAAGTAAAATGGGCAGAAGGGACAAAAAACATCCAGGCACATGGTGAATCCTCTACACCAGGCAAAGAAGCACCCAAAACCCTAGGAAATTTTTCTGTAGTTAAATCCAGCTTGGATTAATTCTAGTACCAGTGTTGTGCCACCAAGTACTTTGACCGCACAAAAATTGCCCTTAGTGCCGCTTGACCCCAGCAGTGAACATCAGGTGGATCTCAGTCTCAAGAAATCTTACCAGCATCCTTCAGGGCTCTTGTGTAGATCTTGTGAGATCAGCTAGAACAGGTCATCTCCCCAAAGCACTGAAATCAGCATTCAGGACATCTCTTACCACTACTCAAAGCTTACTCGTCATTCCCATAAGCCCTGATACTCATGTAAACACATATACTGCTAAAGACTGCAACTGGCTGATGTAGATTAGAAAAATCCTAATGTGAACTAAAATGAATGCACCAACAATGAAAGAATTATCAGCCACTGAGTATTGAAATGGGAGTCCAGAAGTTTTTCAAGTCCTTCAGTACTGCAGTCAGAAAAGAACTGAGATGAATCAAAGCTGAGCCTTGTTACACAATTCTGATGCCGGGCATTTGATTGTTCAGAAGAGCATCCACCTGTTATAACAACTTCGATGAAAGGAGAATTTAGGCATTCAAGACTAGAATCTAACACTGATAATACAGCATTTTCTTGCTCAACTGTCAGCAAACTATTGCACCGGAGTTGAGAGATGTGTTTAATGAAATTTTATTTTTCCTTTTATCAATAGAAGTTCTTGGTCTATTTCTGTTGTCATTTAACCCCATCCTCAATGAAGCACCACATGGTTGCTTGCTCACACCTCCCATCCCTCTGGTGGCATGGGGAGAAGAATCAATAAAAAAGTAAAACTTGTGGGCTGAGATAGAAACAGTTTAACAACTGAAATAAAACAAAGCAATAAACCACCCAAAATTGTTACTACTACTAATTATTATTATTAATAATAATACAAAAAAGCAAGATAACAAAAAGGAGAAATAAAACCCAAGAAATCCAACCCCCCTGCTATGGGCAGGGACATCCCCCACTAGATCAGGTTGCCCAGAGCCCCATCCAGCCTGGCCTTAAAAACTTCCAGGGATGGGGCTTCCACCACCTCTCTGGGCAACCTGTGCCAGTGTCTCACCACCCTCATGGGGAAGAACTTCTTCCTAATGTCCAATCTGAACCGATCCATCTCTAGTTTTAATCTATCCCCTCTAGTCCTGTCACTACCCGACATCCTAAAAAGCCCCTCACCAGCTTTCTTGTCGGCCCCCTTAAGATACTGGAAGGTCACAATAAGGTCTCCTCGGAGCCTTCTTTTCTGCAGACTGAACAGCCTCAACTCACTCAGTCTCTCTTCATAGGAGAGGTGCTCTAGGTCCCTTCCAACCCTGACAGTTCTATGATTCTATGATTCGATGATTCTGTGATGCACAATGCAGTCACTCACCACCCACTTACTGATGTCCAGCCTGTCCCTGAGCAGCGATCACCCTGCCGGCTAACTCCCACCAGTTTACATACTGGGCATGATGTCCTATGGTATGGAATATGCCTTTGGCTAGTTTGGGTCAGTTGTCCTGGCCATGCTCCCTCCCAGCTTCTTGTGCACAGGAAACTAAAAAATCCTTAACTTAGGATAAGCTCTACGCAGCAACAACTGAAACATGAGTGAGTTGTCAACATTGTTCTCATATTAAATCCAAAACACAGCACTGCACCAGCTACTAGGAAGAAAATTATTGCAGACAAAACCAGGCCAATTTCTTAGCTAGGTATCAATTCATTACACTTAAATCATCACATGCCTTTCAGCTTTTAATACTTTTACTTCCTCCCATTGCATTTCCTATTCAACTTTCATTATCTTGAGAGGGAATCATCTGGTTACACACAGCAGGAGATCATCTCTCTCCTGCTGCTAGATGGAGGTACTGCAGCTCAAGAACGCGTACGCCAATTTCTTGTGCTCTGGCAGGAGTCTCCAGGAAGTTTCCCCACTTCTGTTCAACAGATTTCAGCTTTCAGCTGCCTAAAGGCTGGTAGCCTCAGGTAGGATGTAGTATGAAATCTAAACTTAAGTCTGAAAAGTGCCTAAGGTCCTCTTAGAGTTAATGTATTTAATACAGTCTATGGACTCAGAGGAGTCTGATATCCAAATGTCACTTAAGACACAGTAAGATTTCAGGTTAACTTCTCTTGGCTTGGAAAGTACAAGTCAAATGGAAGGGATGGACAACCCAACGGCCACATCCACCAGACCTGTGTGGCTATCTTGGATAGTCCACGGCATCTCAAACGCAAAAATCCAGGTTTAGGCAATCCAGTTATGCCTCAAAAAGCAACCTCTGAGTGAGCTACATTGTTTTTTGTGTCCATTAACTACATCTTCATTGTTCTAATAGAAGTTTAGATACCCATACAGACGTGCCTAGACGCAGGTATACTCATTTCAAACCAAATCTTCGTTTTCCTAATCCTTATAATCAGTAACAATAACTACTTTAATTCCTGATATACTTTTTTTTTTTTCTTTTTCATTTTGGGGTAGAGGAGTAGTTTTTCATTAAGCAGTTGGTTTTTATTTTTGTGTTAACGGAGCTGCAATTGGAGAAAGACAATGAAAAGACTTCACTAAGAATCAAGGAATGAAAAGACTTCATCAACAATCAAGGAAAATCCTGATACCACTCATATTCTGGAGAAGCTATGAACATCAGAGCTTTGTTTTGCTTTATCCTGACTATATAAAAACAAAGAGATACAGGAAAATGCTATCTCAGTTGTACACAGAAAGCAATGAAGCAGAGTACAGATACTGATTTGCTCCCTTGAGCAACAACTATGGCACTCCTCGCTAGTTCAAGAAACAAGAGGCCTGTGTGATGGTGAGTTCACTTTAAGATCTCTGCGAAAACACAAGAGTCAAATATGTGCCCTGCACCCAAGAAAGCTGAAGGGTTCAGGAAGGTGAACTGCTGGGATATGCGAATTGTATTCTCAATGCACCAGTCCCACAAGCAACCACCTATGGAGAAAAAAACCCCTGTACAACTGTTCGCATAACTGCTTACAAGGACCTAACACTTTGTCACTCTATGAGCAGCAAATGCTCAAGACTGGAAAGCCTCACATTAAATTGGCACATTAAATTCACACATTTATGTGAATTTTTCGCTATGAGGGAGATAACAAGTTCTTTATGAGAAGGCTGCATCAGTGCCAACAGGGACATTGTTCGCTTTCACCATTTTGGAAGGTGGAAGAAACTGGAAAGGCATTCCGCTGGAGGTATTAGTTCTGGCAAAGCAAGAGGAAAATGCTAGAAAGCAGACAAAGAAAAACGATATCTGGAAAAGATGCAAAAGTACAGGAGTGACATAAGTAAGGAACAAAACCCTTACACTACAGTGGTTGGTCAGTCTAAACATTATATGAAAAATATATGTCCTGAAGATCAGCATTATATGAAAAATATATAAAAATAAAACATTATATGAAAAATATATGTCCTGAAGATCAGCATTAAGGATAGCGACACCTCACATGATACGAGGCACAAAAGATGCAGTGCACCAAGAATGAAAATAAAACCACCATCTACCATAAATGATGTTTAAAATAGCTTGCAGAGTAGTTGCATGTATGATTCTGGGGGTGTGGAAAGCTCAAAGCTGACCACAATATAAGCAGCAAGCCTAGATTCAACACCAAAGCTCTAGAATAATTAACTGATAGTATTTTGCTTTCACAGCACACAATTTATGATTGAACATAATACTCCATAAAAATTCCTTGTCCTTGCCTAATTCCATAAAAATCAGAAGAGTGAAGAGAAAAATACTGAGAACAGCAGAAAGTGAAAAATTTGAACTATTTCAATATTGTTTATTTGTTCAATATTGTTCTAAACAAAGGCTGTTTAGAACAATTAGTTCTTTTTTTCTGACAGAAACCATGTGAAATTTGCTATGCTAATAAAAAACTCCAAAAAGCGGTAATAGACAGTAACTCAAATGTCTACTTGAAGAAATAAAAACAAACCTTCTGATTTTTTTCTATTTCATCTCGCATTTTCTTGTCTACAGGCACTCTGGTCAGCGATCTGTAAAAATAAAATATTGGTTTCACTCATCCACTGCATTTCTAAAAATGTATTAAATAATGTGATATATGTACTTCAATACCATACCAATCCACCATAACTGAAGAATGCTGTAAATGAGACTTGAAAAGAAGAGTAATGCTGTGTCACAATTATTTTATTTGCAAAACAAATATTTTGTTCTGTGTTACTCTAGTAAATGCTGGCTCCAAATTTATGCTAGCTTTTGCTGAAGTAATATTATCAGCATATTTTTTAGTACTCTCAAACTTTCCACTTCTTTTTTTGCTGGAAAATAGCATGTCTATTATAAAAAAGTTGTTGGATAATCTGAATTATTACCTAAATAAACATCATATTTGTATGTTCTAGCTTAATGCTACTAACTTGATGCTGTTTAACACTACAGCACAGACAGCCAAGGACACAACTTGGTGTTTTGGCCAAAAGCAAAGAAAATATGCAAAGAATGACCACACTAAAACTGTCTGAGATAAGAAAAGAGATTTACAGATTGAGACACTTTAAAATGTTCAGTGTTCACAGACAGTGAAAACTTTAATTTTTTTTAGTCATTCTACCTTCAGAAGATAATCAATTGGCTTGTCTTCTCTATCTTTCAAGAATGTTACGGAAGACTATTTTAACTTCCTCTGTCAGAGTGTATTGTATGTGAGGTTTATAATTACAAGGCTATCATAAAACACTCTCAGAGAGTATTTAGTATCTCCACGTTCTAAGAAACCCTCAGTCGTATTAGCCTAAACCTGCTTCTCCCAATAAATACTCTAGTTGCCTATGTAAATATTTTTTCCAAAACATGATTGCCCATGTTTTAGCAAATCTGTATGGGACTTTAAGAAAAGCTGGAGTCATCCCTGAAAATTAACTAAAAAAACTGAGAATGATCCTACTAAGCCAACATCAATACTTATGGATAATAAAGCAGTTATTCAGTAATATAAATCCTTACCTCCTCCCCCTCAAGAAACTGATTTAGAATAGATCTTGCTAGTAAACAGTATGTCAGAAATAAGACATAAAATCAGTTTACTTGAAACAGATATTCAAGATTTCCAGGCGATCAAAGAGACTATCTGAGAAGTGCAAACAATGTTATTTCCAAGCTTATAAAGACCACCCAGTTCATCACAGCTAAATACCCTTTTTTCCATTCGCTCTCTCTAAATATTCTGACATCTTATTTTTGTCATTGGGAATCCCTTCCGGGCCATGGGATGAAAGGGTGACAGAAGAGCAAGAAAGAGCTGAATTTATGCCAGCCCGCCCGCCCTCGGCGGGCTTTCCTTGGCTCAAACCGAGGAAGGCGATTCCAGCCGTGATGCCAAAGGCAGCGCTAAAAAGCAGCCAACAGAGTCCAAACACATCATCAGTAGTTACTGGAGGATGAGCTTCATAGCTGCTTATTATTGTTGAGCTAATCTAAACTCTTTCTTGTAGAGCTTTTAAAATCATACTGCCAGGTACTCCCCTATGCACATAAAGAATGTAGTAAGTGTATTTGATACTGTGCAAACGTGTCTTATGCTGTGTTGCTTTCAGCGTTCACTAGTTTTGGAATAAAAATTGAGAACAGAAAGCAAGAAACCATAAATATTTTGTTGAAAAAGAAACATTGCTGATTAAGATTTAAAAAAAAATAAAAGCAACTGTAAGTATAAAGAAAAGAATATCTGCAGCCAAATTTAAATTTAGAGAAATGGAGGAGAAAGATTTGGAAAAAAACCTATCAAGTCAGAAGTCTTGAAAGCTGACTATGTAGAACACTCATTTCAAGGACGTTTTACCAGCAACAGACATAACTTAGGAACACTACAGAACTTTTCTCATTAAAAGAACACTAGTGATTGATGGGAATTATTACTGAGATTTTACTTAGTCAACAAGCAAAACAGCCACTTAACAGAAGGAGTCCACAGCAAGGTGGAAAATTAATGTGTGGCAATATTACCACAACTATTATTCTGACTTCGTAGAGATAATTTTAGAGAGTCCTGAAGTAAAAAATAATTCAGGGTGAAAAAAAGCTCTGTTTTTATCTTGCAAAACTCAACATAAATAGCAGTAGGGCCTCCACCTCTCGCAATCAATGCTTCATTCTGCACACACAGGTGACACAAACTCCACAGATAAAAAGAATAACCTAAATCTTTCCAAATAGCTCAGAGCAGTAAGGCAGAAACATAAAAAATGAACATGAAAATAAAAAAAGTGAAAAGGAGAAGACAAAGCTGGCCCAACATTAACATGGGAGTAAAGTACTTAGCAGCAACAGGTAAGCTTTATTGATAGCTTTTTTGGCAGTAAGAAAGGATGACATTAATGATTCTTCATAAACCAGCTCCTTGTCTACACACAGGAGTTGATGATGCGGGATTTTAGCAGGATTTTAAGGAGAAAATGTGACGGTTGATCCCCGAGAGGCATACCCTCAGAATCTGAGGTAACAAGTGCAAAAGCACCTGGGAAAGTGATCTGCTCATTTTGAGCTCTGCACATTTGTAAAACTTGTTCACAGCTTCATTAAGTTTTTTACGTATGAGTCACAAAAGAGAAACGCTTCACTGTCTGAAAGTAACTGGACACTACTTATCATTCGACATTATCCAGGAATGTCCTCGTATGACCTTAAGGTTGTAATATTTTCTATGATATAATTTTCCACATCTTTATTCTTTCCGTGAAGAAATGCAGCTATGTTGTACTGCATATCACAGGAAAAAAGGAAACATTTCACATGTTCATAATGGTAACATTCAGGAATGATAAATGAACAGCAAGAAGCAGTATCGTAATTCTTATTACTGCACCCTTAAATAACAGATAATTATAACGTGTGTACACAAAACAAAATGAATTATCAAAATGTGGCTATGACGTGTCAGTTGTTACACTGCCTACATCTGATGACATTTTGTACAATCTACCTCAGACTAACCTTTTCAACTGGAAATACTGAGACACAAAAATGCAGGTTATAAACTAGAAAATCAAAGACATTTCCAGAGGAATGCTGTATTCATATTCATATGGCCTAAGGAATCCCTCCATTTTTAAGCAACATACACTATTTATTTTTTATTTTCATAGCTATAGTTCTAAAGTTTTTATACAGCCTTTTCAAAACATAACAAAACTTACATAACTAAAAAGTAGTTGTTTTCATATTTTAAACAATTATAAGATACTACTATTATAACGATCAGTTATCTATCTGAATTGATCAAATAATTTAATTTCCTGTTTCTTCTAGTTGTTGTGTTTCCTAAACTAGTATTTCTGACAGAGCAGGTTAAGCATGATTAGATTATTAAAGGAAATCTATTCTGTGTACTCTTCCACAATGCTTCTTTCATTTAAGTTTATTGTCAATACAGACCTACTAACTAAATTATTTACATATTTGTAATCTCTCCTGTTAAAAATAACATGCTAGATTAGCATTTTAGAATAAATCATACATGACAGGAATTGCAACTTTTAATAATTCTAAAGTGTTTTTATACTTTTACCCATAAAAACAAAATGTTTGAAGAGTTGCTCTAATGCTCTAGGACTCTAATGCCACAAATACATGTCAGGAGTTGTAGTGGGATGTAATAACTTAACGACTTTTTAAATCAGTGATTTAAATGTCACCTGCCATACTTTGAAATTACTTTTTCTTGTCCTTTAAAGAACAGAACTGGCCTTGCAGGTCAACATTAGGTACATTTCCACTATCTTCTAATAGAAAGCTGCATTTTCTGATTGTTGATGTAAATGCAATCTTGTACATCACTATTTCGTAATAATTACGTTTCCAGCATTTTAAAAGTTATTTTTAAAATCTTGAAACAAGATGTTACCAAGGTAGTTTTTCCACTACAGTGTAGATTTTCTCTAACAGAAAATCAGAGATAACAATGAAACACTGCGATGATTAAATAAGAATTGTAAAATGTAAAAGCACAGAGTTAAGAATCCTATTAAGTAACATATTTACTGTAGTTTTTCAAGTAAATATTGCTAATATGATTAGACAAAGAACTTTAAAAAGAAAAGTATTTCTCAATTATGATACAATTGGCTTCCGGAAAGAGCAATTTTTAATATTAATACAGAGAACGCTATTATTAATTTATTTAATATTTATCTTGATCTTCTATTAAGTAATCTCTTATGGGAGACAGATCTTCCCCAGTAAGAACATTAATATAGTGTAGCCAGGGCCCAATCTTGTCAGCAATGTTGTGCTTAGGACCAGAGTGGGTGGATCCCCTACAAAATTTAGTAATGAATTTTGCCTCTTCCTGCTGTGAATAGATCTGCTATTAATTTAACAGAGTTTTCCACCTGGGAAAATATCATTCCAGTAAAAGCTGGGAGGACTGGGCATTCCACCATAAGTGCATCAGACAGGAAACATTTAAGAGACCAATCATGAATTCTCCCAGGAGTTATTTTCTACTCAATGAAATTTCCTGAAATTCTTTTAGCAAGGTGTAAAACATGAGTATCTGACAGCAAAATTTGGATATAAACCTGTATCACATTAAATTCAAATGCAAATGTAGAAAGAGTATTTTAAAAGGAAGCTTAAGTATCATACCTGGCTCTTATTGGGAAGTTTTGAGATATGTCTTTCATTAGCTTTAAAGCATCATAAACAGGGGTAGACATAATTCGAGCAGCTGCTTGAAAACTAAGATCTGGGAAAGGAAAAAAAAGAATAATCACTGGAAATATCACTCTCAATCAATACTACCTACAATCAGAGAACTGTTCCATGCACACATTCTCTCTATTAACTTTTTTTACGTTTCACTTATACATTTTAAAAGATGATGAAGTCACATTATTAAGGTCGAAAAGACGGGTACTCAAAAGTTGGAAATACCAAAATCAGGCTTTCCTACAGAATTCTGCTCAGCCATCTTGAGCATACACATTGCACATCTAATTTCTAAGTTTACAAAAACACATTGAAAAAAACCAGATAATTCATTATGTGCTATTATGCCAGTGTCACAAGGGTACCATGCTCAACATACAGATACCCATAATTGCAGTAAAGAGTAAGATTTTTCCAGCTCCAGGACTTCATAAGATTTTCAGAGAACAGATACATTAAATGTAGAAAGCTTTATTGAGCATGTGAGGTGCATGATTTTTAGGAGAAGTAGCAATTTCACAGGAAAAGAAAATGCAGACTCATGAAAGAAAGGGCAATGCACTATCTAGTTTCAGTTCTCCTTAGTGCCTAGCACAATTTTAAAAGGGATCTTATTTTCCTCTATATGCTTTTTCTCAGAATGAAGTAAATTTTTATATATCAAGAAGTAAGTTATAATTCACTTGCCTATCCAATGGAAAAACAGTGATGGAATTCAGTCAGTCTTCTCGGGTACCAAACTTGGGTGTGACAAATCTCAGTACATAAGACCGTGGGAAATCCAATTTTGATGCCACAGATTTACAGAATCACACGGACTGTCGAGGTTGGAAGGGACCTCAAAAGATCATCTAGTCCAGCCCCCCTGCCAGAGCAGGATCACCTACAGTAGGTCACACAGGAACACGTCCAGATGGGTTTTGAATGTCTCCAGAGAAGGAGACTCCACAACCTCCCTGGGCAGCCTGTGCCAGTGCTCTGTCACCCTCACAGGGAAAAAGACTTTCTGAATGTTTTTGTGGAACCTCCTATGTTCCAGCTTGTACCCATTGCCCCTTGTCCTATCACTGGGCATCACTGAGGAGGAGCCTGGCTCCGTTCTCCTGACACTCCCCCTTGACATATTTATAAACATTAATGAGGTCGCCCCTCAGTCTCCTTTTCTCCAAGCTAAAGAGACCCAGCTCCTTCAGCCTTTCCTCACAAGGGA